CCGTGGAACCTTGCGGATGCACCTGGTTGTTGACGTGGAACGTCGGCGGCATATTCATTTCGACATCGTTAGCTGAAAATTGGTCACAATTGATGGAGGGATTTACCATTCCGAAACTAAAGAAATACACAAGCAATCCAATCCTCGTCTCACCGCAATCACATCAAGTCAAGCAGAAATGATAAGCGTAAAACACTCGCAACAACTCAATCGGTCACAAAACGAAATGCGCCATTTGCGATTTACACCAGTTTAGCTAGGCTAGAATTTTGCTGCGCAGTAGCCTGCTCTGAGACGTTTTCAGATTCTTGCTAGGAAAATCGTCAGCAACGACGACAGCAGTACGACAACCCCTACTCATAAGGGCTTGATACGGATCCCCTCCCCCTTCCACTAGCCTATTTTACAGACTCCAAAGAGGATTGTTCTGGCTGATACAAACTGAAATATGGCACAGCTTCATTCTTCCCCACTAGTAATATTAGGTTGGAAAGAAAGTTCTGAAACACCGCAGCCAAAATTTGAAATTTATTTTTTTATTCTTTATTTATTCTAAGATCCATAACATATTGACCATTAGACTACAGCAACACTACGCCAACCTTCGGGCATTTGGGTGACACCGCAGAAATTAGAAATTAGGAAGATTTTTGCCAAACAACCTTCTGGTGTCGGATTTGCGCTCGTTTACGTCGTCGAGCTTCCTGTTCTCCAGGTAATGAGCAAGCGAGCAGGAAAGGTTGAAGAGGTGTATAGATAGGTTTGACGAATATGGCAGACGGGCAGCCGCGGTCCTGCCTGGCTTGAGACCGAACACCCGCGACGTTGCGCGTTGTCGTGAAGCAGGTTGACTTGTCGCTATATTCGGCGAAGCTCTTCTGCAATCGTTTTCGAGCAGCTAGCAGTGTGTAGCCCTTGTACTCGTCAATCCTGCAGACAGATCATCACCCGTGGGAAATACCGTCAAAATTCCAAAAATTTGACAGCATCACCATCCCCCCATAATTTTCAAGTCGAGGCATTGTAACTCCAGTTTCCCATACTCCAAGCCGCTGCTGCTGTCGCATATGGTTGAAGCAGACAGTACTCTTGTCTTCGCCAATGGCCACATGCCACGGCCTATCGTTGCTGCTGTGCGACGAGAAGTACATGTGCAGATGTCCACCCGGTGAAATCGTGCGGTACCCATTCGACCACATTTCCAAGTCTGAGACCCAGAGAGGGGCTTCCCGGAAGCACTCAAGACCCTCCGTCAAGCTTGTATGACGATTGCCAGTCACCCTTTGATTACAGCGGTGACGAGGTCAAAATGGGCAGTAGTCGTGTGTTGCGTCAGAAAGATCAAAGTCTTCGCTGCGGAGCGTTTAAACCAAGCCGAAACCGCCATGTGAGAGAACGTGCCCAGGCCTATCCCGGGACTGATCCTGACCACCTCTGGTGGGCAGATCTCTCTAGGCGGAGCTCTTACAGAATGAGCGCTCGGAGTGTCTGGCGGGAAAAGTTGATTTAGTGCGATGCAAACGCCATTATTGGGAAAGCTGATTTGAGCACCGTACGCAGCACAGTCCGCTCCTACTATATACCACCCATGGAAGATTCCAGAGCATTCGGGAAAATTCAGAAAGAGCGCGAATTGAGTGTGTTTCAGAAACTTTCTTTCCCAACCTATACTTTTGTTTGCCACATGCGCCATAGTACCCTTAAAGATGAAAGCACTAGCGCAGAAAGGGAATCTAAGAAGACTCTTAGAATAGCATGAGATCTGCACTCTAGATATGCACTGAAGTAAAATAAAGGATAAAGGATAAAGCATTTGCCGTTGATCAATCCCTTTTTGGGATGCGGCACGCATTCTACTTCCATTTGTACATTCGCAGTGGCATTTGAATGCGATGTGGCCTATACAATGACTTGCGGGGCCAGCCGATGTTCAAGTCAGTGTTTTTATCCTCCCAGACAAGTCTGGTACCAATTAACCGACCCCGGAGGGATGGAAGGCTTGGTTGGCCCGGGCGACTCACGACCCAGGATTTGATCCCCGGACCGCTCGCGTGGTAAGCGCGCCACTTGTCACTACACCACTTCCGCCCTTGCACTAGAAGTACTGAAATGAAATGCGGAAGTTATAATAGAAACGAAATGGACTGTTACAAGACGCAACTGAGCCAGGCTTGATAGAAGACTTTCAATGAATGCTGTTTACTCGTACGCTGAAACTCAAGGAGGACCAGTGTGAGTTTAATATTAGGTTGGAAAGAAAGTCCTGCAACACTTTTTCAAATTTTTGATTTTAATTTTATCTTTTTTGGTTACAACTTCTGACTGGTCTTATATCTACCATGAGTGTCCACCACTTGTCTCCATCGCTCAGAAAATTTCTTGATCCTCCTCTGCCAAAACCCAGCGGAGTGCGAGTCGAGAAAGGAGGCGACCTCACTTTCGAGTTGGAGTTGATCGTCTGATTATTTCGTTATAAAGATGATGATTAAAGGTCCAGGATAGGTAGCACTTATTTACAGCTCGACCAGGGGATTACGCTAAGAGAGGAAAGAAATCTTGCCGCAACTCCAGAATTTCTTACCGGGCTCATTTCGGATCATGGTGATTCGCAATGTCATGAAAGAAATGAATATTGTCGCGGTACGAGGGCTCTTGACGAGCTACCTCGGCCAGCTTCTGGTACTCCACAACCTAGGCCACTGCCTACACAATGGTGCCCATAACGAAGGGTATGTAGTGGAGCTTCTGTAAGAGCCCTACCTGTAATGGAGTGTGAGGGATGCTGCTGGCTTCTTATAAAAATATCAAAAGATCGGAAGCGCTGGTAAAGGTGAAACACGCTGTATCGCTGAACGGCATGCCATTAGAAGCTATTGCAGATAGTGTCAGTCGTTGACACGAATCCATGGTTTTGTAGACATTTGTACTAGACAGTGACTCGGAGTACGGATTTGCTAGTGGTCGAGATTTTTTGAATTTTCTTGGATAACTACTGACTGCAGAACTTATATCCACCTCGTGGATTGAAGCCTTGAGAATGCTCTATCATTTGGTAGTCATAAATGTTACCTATGAATTTTTCAGAAAAAAAGAAAATTTTGGAAAGAGTGTTGCAGAACTTTCTTTCCAACCTAATACAAAACAATAACTGGAGCAAGAAATCGTATACGAAGTTATTGCTTTTTCTTGATTGGTGTCGTCCTGGCCAACGATTTGACAGTACAGTTTTTCGCTATTGCTGCGAAATTAATGGGAATTAGATTTGAGAATGTTATTTCCACGAATTGAGAGATCATTTTCACTCAATGCGGCTTACCGTCTAGACAAGTGACCCTAAACAGGCAAGTTCACGGAGCTTCTTGTTTCTCTTGGAGTTTTCAGTTTTAGTTCTCTTGGAGTGCATTTAAAATCTGAATAAGATTTAAAGCGCTAGACTGCGTTACTTGTCATGGCTTAATTAGAAAGACGCAATAAAGAAGTCGCATAAAGGCGAATTCCACACGTATAGGTCAGAAGTTGCAAGAAGTTGAATCTCCTGAGAGAAAAGCCAGGCGGACCCTTAAGAATGCGAACCAGCGCGGAATTTGCAGCGAAGGATATGCCCCCCTAGAATGGCCGTTTTCGCGGCGCTGTAGGGTCGGTGCGCCTTCCTCTCGCTGTCTGACCCTCTGCCATTAAGCAGAGAGCGCGTTAGCGGACGAGTCTACTAGTGAATGAGGTATCGAGGCTTTCGTTAGTTGACTAGAAACTTCACGCATGCCTGAGGTGCATGTGGTACAGTGGACGCTCACAAGTGACCCAGCTTTGTGTGCAGCTTTACTGTGTTCAGTGCAAGAACTAAGGAGACAAGGAAAGGAACACACCAGATCGTTGCCATGGATCGTCACCGTTTCTCGTGCCATTCGACGACACCGCACGGAATTTGCCGCTAAAGAAAAGCGAAGGATTACGTGACAAGAGGCAGAAGGTAATATGCACGACGTCACGGCTCACAGCACGCCACTAAACGTTCCATGCAACTTACTTTTCATAGAACTGAATGAATTGCAGTTCAGATCTAAAACGAAACAAAGCTCTCCAGACCTCTGTTATGTATAAATGTGTCATGCTCTTTTCTTGTAGCTGTTGTTTTGCGATTGTTGCGAAGTATGGTCGGGTTTTTGTCGGAACCTTACTAATAAATATATAACTTTGGCGCCGGGTCAAGCTTATTGATCGATCAGTTTCGTAATGGTTGAAGTAGGTGTCAACTGTCCCGTTCGGTAGTGTTCGAATCGAGGGGGTCGCATTTGTGTTTTGGGGAAGGGGTATGTGGCATTTCGGGTTGAGCAAGGATAACTTCCACTAAGAAATCTAAACGTTGGTCACTGAAAAAGGGGTGAAATTGGATGGGATTTGATGGGTTATTTTTGGCGATGAGACTTCCCCCCTCCCCAGCCCAGCCTCCTGCTCCTCGACGGCCGTTCGAAGGAAAGAAGCGGGTGGAGTTGGGTTGCGTCGACTGTAAGAATCAAATATACTAGGAGAAACAGCTATGATGGTGAGGACAGTGAGAGGGGTGTAGGAAGGGTGTTTAAGGGGAAGCAATTATAGCTGGTGGTGGTGTGGATGTATCAAGACCACCCCTTCCCACCTAAACGGGAGTGGTCGCGAAGTTTTGAGAAATGTGCGATTGCGACGGTTGACCCTGGGTTGAAAGGAAATTCTGCGATCGAATAGGTGGGATACGGCGCCCAAGACGTGGTATTCCAAGTCAGCTAATAAAGAAGAGCAAAAAAACTGCTGATTTGTTAAGAACGCTCTTAATCACTTGGCGCTGATCGTATGGGTGGCTCCAGACCGACTACTGCCGTTCTCTTATTGGTTGACCTTCTTCTTGGAATGGTGAGGAGCGGCGAGGATTTAATCTAACCAATAAAAATGGGTGTCATGAGTTGAGCCGGTACCGCCCATACGTTTAGTGATTTTGAGGGATCTTGGCAGTTTCGGCTTACACTCTTTCCTTGCCCAGCGGCCCAAAAATACTACTTTCATTTCTGCACGCAACACTTGTATGGTTGTGGACGCCCGGAACGTGAAAGGAGCACCACAAGCGCCAGGCCCCCTATGTATCTCTGTTATGAAAGAACGGGCAGGAAACTTACTTGGATCTCGTCCGCACTTTCGACAGGCATTTGTCTGGGCTATTGGCCCTCTCCTGAGTTCTCTGGCGATGATGGCGGGCATTGTGCGCTTGCACGCCCACCCGCCGCAAATAGGACTTCTGAAAAGGATGAAGGCTTTTGAAGGCCATAGTATTCACATGAAGAAGTGTCGGAATTGAAAGCAATCCACGCTTTATTGCCTGAGTGAGGCATGTCTACGATCAAGTGTAAATGCAACTATACAGAAGCGCAGTGCTCGCGAACCAACCTGCTCCTCCTCGGTCAGTTCACTCAGTTTGTTCTTATGAGGTGTCATCACGATCTCGTGGCGATTCTTCACCAAGCTGTAACAAATAATCTCTTAAGCGTTGAACGAGCAGCGGTACTTCACAACTTTTCAGGAATTGCTGGTTCCCCTTATCAACACATTGGAAGACCATTTGAAGATTATGATAAGTTGGAAGGTTGAAGAAGAGGAAGTTTGCCTAGTGGGAAGACATGCGGATCCCTCAAGGGTGCGGCAATTCGCAGCAGAGGATATGCCCCCGGACCTAGATTGGCCGTCCAGGCGGCGCTATCAGGGTAGTACGTCCATCGACTGGCCACAGGTCTCTAGCAGTTTCGCAGAGAGAGAGAGCGTTAGCGTTGGAGAAGGCAACAACGGATAAGGAAGCTGTCCAATTTTTTCCAGTTTTCGGCCATTTCTTATGGTTTTTCTCCCAGCACCAGTGACTACCTCTCAATTCTGATTTTCTGCTTTCTGATCATGAACTCCGTTTTAAAGACACATTCCACTACTGAACATGTGTAGGTTATCACTTCATTATATTAGGTTGTCTCATAAGTAGTGTCGCTTTTTTTCAAACCAAAAAATTTTCATCTAAATCCCATGCTTTTACATCGATCATATACCATTCGAAAGAGAATTGTCTGCTCTACAAGATGCTATGTTCTCTTCCACCTATGTTCAGGGTTTTCAAATTTTAGGCCTGCGAAATGGGAGGTCCAGCCGACAAAAATTGACCAAACCGACAACTAGCTCTAACTTTATTTCCCTTGGGAGAAATCAATCAATGATGTACCCTCTACTTACTCATGACCTCTTCTAAACATTCCACTCTTAGGTTGCCGAAAAAGCTTTGCCGTGTTTCTTTTCGAATTGGCTGACCGATAAGCCATAGCAATTTTCAAATTAAAATTGTTCCTCGTAAACGCCATTGTTTCATATCGAGTGGTGTTCCTTTTGTGAGCACTTCTTCTGCTCTATTCGCTCATTTGTTTTGTTTTTATGTTTGTTGGAATTAGTTCGAATTTTAGGTGTTTAGGAATAAGGTGCTTTATCCACGAAAGTGACCGCATTTCTTTGAAAAAAATTATCCCTGAGAAGATGAGAAAATCAACCAGGCGTACATTCCTAACTTAGTCATGACTTGTTCTTTAAATTCTACTAGTTTTTCAATGTCTCGGCTATAAAAAAAATTTCGACCTAGATCTCAGGTAATGGTGCTCGACCGTCGAGTTCTGGTTGAAAAACCAGGTCTGGAAATGGAACGACGCGACTTGTTGGGAAACCTAATAGTGTAATGTTCAGAAGAGGTCATGCATAAGTAGAGGGTACATCATTGATTGATTTCTCCCAAGGGAAGATAAAGTTAGAGATAGTTGTCGGTTTGGTCAATTTTTGTCGGCTGGACCTCCCATTTCGCAGGCCTAAAATTTGAAAACCCTGGAACAGAGGTGGAAGAGAACATAGCATCTTGTAGAGCAGACAATTCTCTTTCGAATGGTATATGAACGATGTAAAAGCATGGAGATTTAGAAAAAAAATTGGTTGAAAAAAGGATAAAAAAGGATAAAGCATTTGCCGTTGATCAATCCCTTTTGGGATGCGGCACGCATTCTACTTCCATTTGTACATTCGTAGTGGCGTTTGAATGCGATGTGGCCTATACAATGACTTGCGGGGCCAGCCGATGTACAAGTCAGTGTTTTTATCCTCCCAGACAAGTCTGGTACCAATTAACCGACCCCGGAGGGATGGAAGGCTTGGTTGGCCCGGGCGACTCACGACCCAGGATTTGATCCCCGGACCGCTCGCGTGGTAAGCGTGCCACTACCACCAC